ACACCTGACAGAGGATTGATCTCCACAATATATAAAGAACTCAAGAAACTAGACATCAAAGTACTGAACAGTCCAATTAAAAAATGGGCTAAAGAGCTAAACAGAGAATTCACAAAACAAGAACTACAAATGGCTGAAAGACATTTAAAGAAATGCTCAACATCCTTAATCACCAGGATATTCTTTATGCATGTGCCTCTCAGGCTCCCCCAGCCAGCCCTGCTTCCTCCTCCAGCAGGCTCCTCCTCCTTCTGACTGTCTACACAGCTGGTCAGAGCTGCTCTGCCCGGAGAGAGTAAAGTGCAGGAGGGGTGAGAAGGAAGTGGGAGAACACAGAGGGAAGGTGCTGAGAAGCCTGATGGGGAACTGTCTGCAGAGGAAAATAGGGTGAGTTCACTTTCTCCGGAGAGCAGGGACCTGGCCCAGTGGTGAAAGAGAAAAAGAGGGCTACTCTTAGGGCGAAGGGAACGGGGCAAGGAGTGTGGCAAGAATTCAGTACCTCCTGAGCCACACACCCTGTGACATCCTTACAGGGTTTGCCTTCTGCCCTGAATCCCAGCATGAGGAGAATAGCTGGGATGTGGGAAGACTCCGCTAACAAGGGGCACTGCCCATCTAAGAAATGAAACAGTTGCCCTGGGGCTGGGGTCAGGGACGCTCTCCTGGGCTCTTGATGTTCCCTGAATAAGTTCATGAGCATCCACTCTTTCAGGGACTCTTCATGAATTTAAAATAAATAGCACATTCCCTGCCAGATGAGGCTTCAGTTAGTGCATTTACAAGCCAATTAAGGAGGGTCATGTCACTAGGGAAAAGACTTGTTTTCATGATCCTGGGCTTTGGTCTCCTCATTTTGTTTTGTTGTTGCTGTTTGGAGGGATTTTTGCTTTGTTTTGGATTGTATATTTTATTTTTTGGTGTTTTATTTGATTTTTTGAGACAGGGTTTCTCTGAATAGCACTGGCTGTCCTGGAACTCGCTCTGTAGACCAGACTGGCCTCAAACTCACAAAGATCGCTTACCTCTGTCTCACCACCACTGCCCATCTGGTCTCCTCATTTTAAAAGAAAATAATAGTATAATCCTACCCGGAGGTTCCTAGTGTGGATAGCAGCAGCGTGGTCCCTGATAGAGAAGGGTTCAGTGATCGGAGGCTAGTCTCGGTTTTCAGACCATCATTTTCATTCAGTCAAAGCAAACACATGTAAAGAAAATTATGATCACCCAAAATAAAGGGCTTTCTATGGTATGAAGTGAGGGGATCTATAGTGAGTAAGCTGGCAGAGAGTCTTCCAGGGTTGTGCTTGCTACCCTGGTCTCAGATAGCATATAAAGGGGAACACAGAAAAATGAGGTCGTGCAAAATGCCAAAGGGGATTTGGGAGCATCTATCTGTGTCCTTTCCTGAGAGCTAACACTATCTGAGTGTTTGCCCTGAACTCTCTCAACCCCTTCTCCACCTTCTAACGGCCTCCTATAATGACTGTCATTTGGTCTCTCTGTGAACGCCTCTAAATGTGGCTTATTATTTTCTGCTCTTTGCTTTGTGAATTCCTGGTTCCTGCCTTTGTTTCTGGCACACAGCAGGTACTCAGTAAGTGCTGGGTGGGTGATTGGAAGCATTCCTGGGGAGAGAGAAAGCAACATGCAGATATAGTATAGATGAGGAAATAGTGATGGATGGCATACATGCACTTTCGTGTCTCAGAACTTTGCTGTGGGGCTAAGTGTTGTAACACTGATAAATACTTATCATGAGAGAGAGGAAAAGTATAGGAATGCAAGTAGAAGAAGATGAGATGAGCTGGTATGCACACTTAGACTTACAGCATTACATCCATCGTCTTTATTTTAGCTCCTATATCCAGCAGTCATTTGTGTTTTCTTACCTATCAAGAGGCAGTAATGCCATCCTTCAATTTTTGTTTGGGGTTTACTCTATTTTGTCTCTAAAGTGAAAGGCTATTTTTATTTTTTTAATGAGTTTTTCTCATAAATATGCAAAAAATAATAATTTTCTAGTTGATGGCTAGATTTTTATGATTTTGTGTCCATTACATTTTAAAGATAATTGAACTCATTCTGGAAATCACTTAGGTACCTTTCACTGCATTCACACTTAGCAGGCTTTCCTTACCAACTCACATTCTCATTTTTTTCATGTGGCTTATGAATTTACAGTTAGTCCTATACATTCAATAGATGGTTCAGATAGTGTTGTATCCCTAAATAACTGCCCAGCTGTATTGCTAAATAAATTGCCCAGCATCCTCATTCCTGTGCTAACTGAGGTTGTTGTCTTACATCAGCTGGATCTCTTGTCCATCTTTCCTGTTACCCCTAACTATGTCTCTGCAGGACATAGGATGGAAAACCACCTCTCCCCACAGGAAGAGCCCAAGGTCTCAGGGAAAAACATTTTCCCTAAGAAAACCTAGGTTTTCCCCCTTCCTGGTTGCGGATCCTCAAACAAGCTGCCTAAATTTTGTCCCTAGTTCCCTTGTTAATAAATGACAGGACAATAATATCAACTGATGGACTTGTTCTGAAACTGAGTGAAATATAGCACATATAAAGATCGGCATATACCGAGAAGTACGCACGAATTCTATTTCTTCATACTCTCAACTTCCAGCAAATGAAAAAAGGATTAAACAGAAATCTAATCCAAACAGTGAATGAATTTAATTCTTATATAATTGTTTCCTTCTTCTTCTATCTATCTTTTGTTCTCTGGATTACTGTGAAAGATGGTGTCTCCCGGAACCCCATTGCTTGGGTGCAGGCCCTGAAACAGCAGCAAACAGAGAATGAATGGAGAGGCTCAGGCCTCTCCCTGTGCAGTGGCATTTTCACGCTTGTGATGAGGATTCTGAGGCATCATTTTAGGACTGTGGGTGTGGGCTGTTCCTCTGGTGACAGAGATATTAGATCTGAAACAGGCTCCGGCCTGGGGTTCAGGATGGAACATTAATAGACGGCAGGGCAATAAGAGGCATGCTAAGGTAGTTCCAGAACTGCTCATAAACAGAAGAAATGAAACAGCTGAGAGAGAAACATAAAACCATAGTGAGAATTATGGGATGACACAGTGGCCCATTTCTAATATTTGAGTCTTAGGTGGAAGCTGGACACTCAGGGGACACATTGGAATCTGAGACTTCAAAATGCCAAACATCGGACCTGCAGGTGAGAGTACATACTGTCCAATGCCCCGGGGAAGAAAGAGCTTGTCAGGGCTGGGGCCACCCATCCCCACAGCAAAGGCCCAGTACCAGCCGTAACGGCAGCAAGTAGGAAAACAGTAGGAAAGACAGCAAGACTTCCCCGCACTGGACAGGAGACATCCTGCTATTCTAAGAGCCTCCTGTATCCTTGGCAACAGGAAATCAGATGCTTAAGTTCCTGGTACAGCTTGAAATAAAGATCTGAAATCCTGTTGTCTATTTGTGGAATAAAGTACCTCTGCACTCAAATCTCTACGCTGGCTCTGTCATTCTAAGCTTTGAGTTTCTACTTCTGAGTTAACTACATTCTCCCATGACACGAGGTTGAAAGGACTGTGCAGAGGTGCTTGAGTTTATGCTGGTACTGGAAATCTAATACAGCTTCATGCATCCTTCCTGAGTGGATGTTTGAGTATCCAGTGTTATGGAACTCCTAAGGAAGGAATCTTGCAATGTACAAGTCCCTCAGGCCTAAGAGTCCAAATTATGGCAAAGTCTGTTGTTCTATAACCTACAGTTAGCAGCAGTTCTCACAGTGTTCCAGGAAGCACTTCTGAGAGAGCATCTAAAAACAAACCAAGACCATGTTAGGGGCAAGACCCTAAGATCTTTCGCACCCAAGGCTGTATGTCTTCAGTGCAAGCTGAGAAGTATGTATCTTGAGGGGTGTCATTGACCATCTATTAAAGCATGTACATCACATGATGGAAAGGAGAGAAAAGGATGGGGGAATAATGTCAAGGGAGAGAGGATTCATGGGCTTGATAACAGAGGCCTCATGAAAAGATAAGCACCTGGGATTGCTGGTGTCCCTATGATGTCACAGAGGTTTGTCTCTCTAATTCTTGATCACGATACAGCCTTTCCTGAGCTACCCTTTCTGAAGGCATTCCAGGGATAGCTGACTGGGAGGCACATTTTTAGATATTTTCCTTACCTGGACTCACCTTAAACCAAAATACACATATTAAAATGCAAGAATGCATTGCAAAGGATGCATAGAAAAGAAGGAAAGTTTACAAATCGCTTTTGTCCGTCATCACCTTTGTCTGAACCTTAACGGCTTCATGAAATAAATAGTACATATAGCCTCATTTTAGAAATTAAATTGCGGCTCAAAATTTGTAGAAATATGAATATGAATCCAGTAATTCACAACCCTACCATCGCCTTTCACCTCACTTCCGTGTTCCCCTGATGAACCTGACTTCTTAGCACTGGGCAGATTCACCTATTTCCATATGATACCTTTTAACCACAGAAGCAGAAGATGAAAACAAGTGGTTTACAGGACACAAAGGACACTAAGGGCGACCTAAAGGAGAGAGCTGATGCTACGCCCCAAAGTCTCTGATAACACATAGAACCAGGAAGCCATCAAGATGCTCACCCAAACTGGTAGTCACAACCATGGCCATGGCTTACATGGCCATGGGTTACAGCCAGCCTCTGTAAAAAGCACAAGTCTTCATACTTAGCTACACCCTTGGAATTTGGGTGGTAGATCTGATGACCTCCTGTTTTGGTGGCTGTGCTCACAGTTACTCATGTATAGCTTCATCAAATATTTCTAGGACACAAATTTGCTGTGTATTTGATAGGTTGGCATACACTGGTGACATAGACCACGATGATGGGTGGGATGAGTATAGTCCCCAGCTTTATGAAGTTCACATTCTAGTATAGGAGATAGATATGTGATTAGTCCAGTAGAGTGGACTATGCACAGGAGAGATTAGAGAGTCAGAGTTCAGTGGCATCCTGTGAAAATACTGCTTGACCTTGACCCAAACAAAATGATTTCTCAATTGTGAAATTCATACCTTAATATTCTGGAGATAACGCCATCACAAGGAGTCAAGTAAATCACTGGGATTGTGAGTTTTCAAACTTTTTGTTTCCCAGGGGTTGGGGATTTGGCTCAGTGGTAGAGTGCTTACCTAGCAAGCGCAAAGCCCTGGGTTCGGTCCTCAGCTCTGGGGGAAAAAAAAAAAAAAAACTTTTTGTTTCCCTTGATGAGAATAGACAGGTTTTTTTTTTTTTCCTGGCTAGAAACTGGTGGTATCATGGGCCTATGTCCAGTTCACCTAATAAATAAGGACAGAAACAGCAAGGGGAAAGAAGTCACCGTTCACAAAGCCACCGAAACCAGACTCACTGACTTCCTGGCACCTCTCTCAGCTATTTCAGGTGCTGGAGTTGCTGTCATATCGATGAAGGATGCTCCTGCCTTCCTTGGTAAGTAAAGCATCACTCAAGGAATCAACTTCCTAACTGTGTTTTCAGTGTGGGGCTTGTTAGGTACCTGTGAGCTCCTTTCCCTTCACGGATACACTCAAGCTGGGTACCAAGCCCAGCTATGGTCACTGAGAATCCGTCAAAGAAACAGCCCCCAGAGTGCGGTGATAATCAAGAATAATAATTGTCTCATGGGTGGTAGAGTCTTCTCCCATGGGTAAGCGTCAGATGTAAGAATGAAACTGCCCGTTAATACTGAGAGTCTTCACACTACAAGTCCTTTGTATAGAAACACACATGTCTGCCCTCTGAATGGAGAATGTGTAGTCCAGGTGATAATTTATTGTCCAAACTGAGACACTCTGGAGAGTGAAACAGTTGCTGAAAATAGCTAACCACCACTAAGTGATTGATAGTGACATTAATGTACCCGACTTAGCATGCCAGACCCATGGCCATCCTTACAGCAAATTGTCAGCTTGCCCACTACATGACAATGGGCTTCCATCATATCTCCAGGGAGTCTTCTATGCAGTGTACTTTATTGGAAAGTGTTTGGATTTTTTGCTTGGGTGGCCACAGGTTGGGCTTAGGATTGAAAAATGCCTGCTCCTCCATGTGTATGATATAAAACAAAATGGAGGTTTATGTCAGAAATATTCTCCGAAAATATAACCTCTTAATACCACGTGTGCATGTATCAGATTGCAAAATAAAGGCAGGAAAGGGGGTAGAAAGGAATGCACTTCTACTTAACATCGTCTTCTCTTTTCCCTTTTCTTATTTTTTCATTCCTTTATTTTGAAAGAGGTGATATAAAAAGAATAACAACTACCAATGATCGAAATTGATGTTTCATAATGCAATGTTTAAGAGTTTCTGAATATTGAAACAACCTGCCTACATTTTTTTTACAGGAAAAACATAAGCACATTTAAAGCTGGACAAGAGTCCCCAAAGCAAAGTAAGTCATCATTTTGTTTCATGTTTATTTATTTATTTGTTTGTTTGTTTGTTTGCTTGTTTTGAGAAATGGTTTTTCTGTGTGACAGCCCTAGATGTCCTAGAACTCTGGAGAATAGGCTGGCCTTGAACTCATAGAGATCTGCCTGCCTCTGCCTCCCCAGTGCAGTGATTAAAGGTGTGCGCCACCATGTTCGGCAAAGTCAGTCATGATTTCCCCATCATTTGTACTCTTGATGGACTTAACATTTCTAAAATGTCCTTTCTCTGTGCTTCCAAAGCCAGGTGAGAAGGTCTGTACTATAAACCTACACACACTGCTGCAATTACCCCACTTTTGTGTTTGCTTGATTTTCCCATTAGACAGTGGGTTCATTGAAGCAGAAATTGATTTATTGATCTCCTCAATCTGTGCCTGATCTGGAAACTGAAGGAGCTAACTGGGAACAACAAATGTGGCAGCTAGGGCACAGAGGAGCAGCTGAAAATCTCAGTTCTCACCTTACGAGCAATGGGGAAGGATGGAGAAGAGGCAAGGATGGTCAGATTTGCATTGAAGAGACCCTCCAGCCCAGTGGGATGTGCAGAGAGGAAACAGTATCAACTGTTGGCAAGAACTGAGGCCAGCAGACCTATGATGAGGCTGTTGGGACAGATCAGTAGTGAAGTTAAGTAAACAAGACTTGGGACTGGAGAGATTGCTCAGTGGTTAAGAGCACACTGGTTGCTTCCAGGGGACCCTGGCTTAATTCCCAAGCACCCACGTGGCAACTGGCAACTGTCTGTAACTTCTGTTCCAGGGAATGCAATATCCCCACACACAGATACACATGCATGCAAAGCACCAATGCGCATAAAATAAAAATAAATAATTAAAAAAGAAAGAAACAAGATTTGATGAGCAGTTGGAGAATGATGGCCCATACATGACAGAGAATAAGAAAGTGTGAGTGTGAGGATGGACCCTAACATTGCTGAAAAAAATGGAGGAATTTTGTCTTCCCCTAGCTGGGTTTCAAGTGGAGAGTATAGCTCACCCATGCACTGAATCTCAAAGCCCAGCTCTGTGGGTACACAATGCAGCCTCTAGCCCTCCCAGCATGAGCCCTTTCACCCAGGAACAATGGATCCCAACAAAAGCTAATTTCTATCAAAATAAGACACAACAGAAATAAGGCCACGGGTGCCAAAATGTAGAAGCCTTTCTTCTAGTGAGAACCAGTGATGCCCCAGATGCTATAAAACTTTATGGGGATGTGAGAGTCAGGGGAGCTATGAATCCATGAGCCACATGGTGGACAGCTCTGCCTCCTACCTGGGTTTCCATGGATGGCATCTTTTTTCTTCTTCTGGCTGGATGCCAAGGGTGGGAAGCATGCCTCTGCTCTGTGGCTGAAGCCAGTCAATGTGGAGTAAAATACTTTTGAAACATTGCCTTGCTTCTGCAGAAACATAAATGTTCAGCATCTGGGCGTTCTGAAAAACTTTCCTTGAACACAAGTCCTCATGCGACCATCATCTTAATGTTACCTGTTAGAAAGGACACCCTCCTGTCTGCTCTGTGGGTCTCTCATGCTGTCTTGTATGTCCCCTGGCTAGTCTGTGAGAAACAGGCTTGTTGCTGGTATATCTGTCTCCCTATTGTGTTTTCCCAAGTAGGTACACAATGGATATTATATAAGGGAAGAGGGAAGAGAGGGGGTATGATTGGCTGCCTAAAGATGCCCTAAAAGTATCTTTCTTCACTGGCCCTATCAGCCTGAGCAAGCTCTCCTGTGGCTTTGTTTAGGGTGTCCTGTGACTCTTAGGGATCCGTAACAGACTTCTGTAGACTACTCTAGCTGTCCCTTGGCTGTCTGGTTGCAAACATCCCAGCCCCACTCCCTGAAGTCTCCACCTCAACCTGAGATTCATTGAGTGTATTTTCTTTCTGCAGATGAAGGGATGACTTCAGCTCCTATGCAGGTAATAAGACCCCTTCTGATCCCAACGTGGAAGAAACACTGTAGATGTTGGGGGGGGGGGGGGCAGGAACCCACAGTTATTTGCAGAGCCTGGTGGCAGAAACAGCAGCCCTCCTGTGGCATAAGGGATTGGAGGGAACTAACATTTGCTGAGCACTTTGTTATGACAGGCCATGTGTTGAGTGTTTGACAGGCATCTCATGTAGCTGTCACAACAACGCATATTATTGCAATACTGTGCCCTCTCACTTCTTCACAGATGCAAAACCTGAGAGATTAAGTTCTAGTGTCCAAATCCAGGCCTCTGAAAGATGGCAGAGCCAGCCTTCAAACCCCGGTCTTTCTCTAACAGTCACATGCTTCCCACTGTACATTGCTGCCTCTGATGTTTTAGCCCCTGAGATTCCACCATTAGTGAGACCTTCCCTTAGATTATCAATGCAATCATCTGCCTGTGGATGTACTGCAATTAGTAGAGAGGGCTTATCGAGCATGCAGGAAGCCCTGGGTTTGATCCCCAGCATAGCATAAGCTGGAAGTGGTGACACACATACTCCTATGGCACTCATAAGATACAAGGAAGAGGAACAGAAGCTCAGGGTCATCCTCTGCTACATATTAATTGGGATACAAGAGACCCTGTCAAGTAAAGACAATAATAATAATCTCTTGATGAGTCATTAAATATTATCCAAGCACATCCAGTGTTCTGTGACCAACAGAAGTATATATATATATATATATATGGTGGTCAAGGGTCACTATGGAACATGTATAAAGGAGACACACATGTATGCTTTGGATGACAGGAACACTCCAAACTTCTAGTTTAGTATTTGGAAGGCCCCTGCAGCCATTTAGAAAAGATGGGCCGGAAATGGAGAAAGCAGTGGTGGTGGAAGACACGATTTCCCCCGTCAGGCCTGTGTTGTCACTGAAGCATGAACGGGAGGGAAAGAGGCCAGATCTTTATGAGGGCTCTCCCTTGACCTGCAGGACAATGCTGACCAGATCTACACAGAGGAGTTATGCTACATCCTCGTTGACCACAAGGCCCTCAGAGGAAGGCCATCAGACAGCTCTGCTGAGAGGTTCTATGAGAACGTCTCTAGCAAGGCTGAGAGACCCAGAGAGTCTTCAAGAGGAGTAGAGACGGAGTATTCGGTCCTCCGCTTCTCTTCCACCTCTCAGCCGCTTCCTCCCGCAGAAGGTGAATATGAACTTCTGGTGCCCAGCAGACTCTCCTTCCGTGCCCATCAACAGCCACGGCCACTTAGAGCCCCCTTTGAGACTCACTTTTCTCATCGACAGTGAGTGACTAGGCTAGAGTTTGCTCGGCGCTGACAGACAAAAGCAGGAGTTGGGGACTCTGTTGGATGACAGATAAAAGGAGGGCTCGGGGACTCCAGTCATGGGGCACAGAGATCCTTAGCTTAGTTCTTCTGGAGGACCTTGGAAGAGCAGACTTTGTGGACCACAAAGCCGTTTAGAGTCTGACAATAATCAACATTTAAAAATTAGTCAGTTGTCTTGGATGTCGCATTGTTTGAAAAAAAAAAAAAAAAAGAGTGGCCACCTTTGCTTCTAAGTGGTTAAAAAAAATACTCTGTGGCAGGAAGGAAGGGCTCCCCATACCTGCACCTGGCTGTACCACAAAAGCTCTGCTCTTCTCACTAAGTTCTTATGAATTATCCCCACAACTGTTTTCTGAAGCCAGGGGAGGCTTACTCATCAGGTTACACGTCCCCAGGGGGAATTCCCTCATCACTGTGAAATCCCACCTCAGCACCACTTGCGACAGGACAGCCTGTAATATTCCTTTACTCCATGGGCTGGGGACATGTCCTTCACTCAGCGTCCTTTCTCTCATTGTCCCAAAGGCTTAGAATTTCCTGTACCGTTGTTAATATAGTTTTAAACTACATTTTCAAACTTTGAATTTCTCCTCAGAATTGTGTTTCTCTTCCAGTGTGGGAAATCATTCCCAGAACTTCATCCATGATAGGCAAGTGATCTACCTACCATTCAGAGACAGCTCAAACCCCTCCACATAGTTCTCAGTAGAGTCCAGCCTGGTCTACAGAGTGAGTTCCAGGACAGCCAGGGCTACACAGAGAAACCCTGTCTCATAAAGCAAAACAAACAAACAACAACAACAAACCCTCAGTAGAACCCCCACAGTATCAGAGTGATGGAGTAGAAAGGCCACTGTAGAGCCATTCATCTCTCTATCTTCTTTTTGGACTGAGAGAAAACAATTCACCCAAAGGTACTTTATTGGCATTAGTGGCAGGATTTTATTCTAGCTTCCACGTCAGTGTCCTGCTACATACTAAATAGAGTAGAGTAAATTTCTTCATAAATTATCCAGCATGTGTGAAATGTCCACATGGGAAAAATAGCATGCACCCCTTCTCTATGAGCACCCCGCTGTGCCTTGATTCTTCATTTTCCCTCATTTTCTTTAGAATTTCTGCAACTGTATCTACCCTCTGTTAGACAAGTATGCATAACCTGCTGACTGACCAAATCTGACCCACCACTTGTTTCTGTAGATAAAGGTTTATTGAAAAACAGCCACGCTGATTTGTCTACATACTATCTATGGTTGCTCAACCATGGTAGAATTGATTTGCAACACAGACCAGAGCTTTACAAAGCTAAAAATATCTTTAGTTTAACCTATTCTGGATAATAATTTTGAAGGCCTTTGCCCTAAACAGTGACAGTTTGAGATAAACTTAAGAGGACTATGATTGGTTATTGATGAAACTCATTAGGAGCAGATACCAATGAAATGGCGGGAAAATATTAAACCACAAATGAGATGAGCGAGATGAAAACAATTATTAGCAAATTTGACTATTTCTACATTCACACCTGCATCCTCAAGATGTTATTTTATTTACCTCATGGCCACTGTCCTAATTTTAGGATGTTAAAACGGCAAGATGTTCATTGAGACGAGCTTTGGATGCACTATGCATTTAATTACCTCTTTGTGCTCAAAGCTGAATAATTTTCTACTTAAAATGTCACAAGGTATTAGGGAGGTATCTTAGTAATAGGATCCTTGTTTAGTGTGTACAAGGCATACACATATGCACATACACTTGCACACATGTGGGCATACATACACACACACACACACACACACAAATGAATAAATAAATAAATAAATAAATAAATAAATAAATAAATAATGAAATAAATAATGAAATAAAAAACAAAACAGGCCAAGTCCCCATTGAGAGGAAATGCGGTGGCTTAAGGTCCTCTGAGTGAGTTTGCTGAGATATAAGCCTGTTGATCATCTGCAGCTTGATCTCAGCTAACTCCCTTCTTCTACAGCTGTCTTTCACACAGAAGCCTAACTGTAGACTTTGAGCAGAAGTCACTTGGGTTCAAAGGGCGTGTCCATGGTGATAGGAAATGTTGTACAAGATGTAACACCATGCTTATGGGAAGCAGTGTGGGCCAGTGACTGATTCAAGTCTTTGTTTCCCTTTTGCCTTTGACTCTGACCCACTTCCTTGAGGCTCAGTCTATTGCACCCGTACATGGGAGGGCTACATCTGACATATAGTCATCTATTCTAGTTTACTTTCTACTGCTGTGATAAAGCACTGACAAAGAGTTAATTAAGGAAGAAAGGGTTTATTTGACTTATCTGTCCCAATCATATTCCCTTGGGGCTGGGCTGGAGCTTGAGGCAGGAAGTGAGGCGGAGGCCATGGAGGAATGCTACTTATACCTCTCTTAGTTTGCTTTCTTCTACAACCCAGGACCACCTGCTCAGGGGTGGCACTGGCACAGTTGTCTGGGCCCTCCCACATCAATCATCAATCAAGACAGTGCCCCACAGACATGCTCACAGGCCAATCCTCCCACATCAATCATCAATCAAGACAGAACCCCACAGACATGCTCACAGGCCAATCCAATGGAGGTGATTCTTAAACTGAGGTTCCCTCTTCCTAGGTGATTCTAGTGTCAAATTGATTTAAAAAAAAAAAAAGCCCTAACTATCATATATCATCTATCATAGACCCTGAGGAAAAACGGTAGTAAAGAGTTTAAAGCCTGGACCCCCAACGTCCCTCCAGCAAGGCAGACGTCAAACAGATGGCACTACGCTAGAGCCTTTCACGTGAATACTAAACCTTTGGGGCAGATAGGCATTGGAAATATTATCAGTAAAATACAATAAGCTGTATGTGTTTGCCCCCATCCGGTGAAGTATTATCTGTCCCCCAAAAGCAAAAGTGTTTTATCAGGGCCTCCTTAAGTCTAAATGAATAGACAAAGAAGCATGGTTGTATGGTAAAATTAGAGGGACTGTACAACAGCCCTGTTTCTAGACTGAAGAGCCTCTGGGGGTATTTCAAGACGTCTGCTATGGGTGCAAGTGCCATAGCTCAATGAGTGAATGTGCTTACTAGGCAAACCTGACAAGCGGGTTCGATCCTAGGACTCCACCGTGGAAGGAGAGAACAGATTTCTGAAAGTTGTCCTCTCACCTACACACACACACACACACACACACACACACACACACACACACACAAAAGAACTCACAAATAATAAACAGAATTTCATATTTAAATCTACTATGATGTGTACAATATTAATTATCAAACCAAAGATATAAATAAATTAAAAGAAACAAAACTGAGAGAAAACATTCTATGACCTGTGTTGTGGTTGGAATGTGAAATGTCCTCACAGTCCCCCATGCTTAATCACTTGGTCCCCTCCTGTGAGAGCTTAGGGAGGATGTAAAACTTTGGGACTATGACCTAGCTAACAGAAGTGGTTCTCTGAGGGGAGGCTGGGAACTTGAAGGTGATACCTGCTCTAGTTCTGGCTGGAACCCTGCATCCTAATCTGCCAGGGTGAATGCCCACACCACCAGGTCTACCACCCCAGACTCAGTGGCTCCAACCACCATGCTGTCCTGCCAGAATAGACTGTGTCCCTTGGAACTCTGAGTCAAAACAAGCTTTGTCTCACTTGTGGCTTCCGTCAGGTTTTCTGTCACAGTAATGAAAAATATGATTAATGTTCTTGCATAAAATTAAAAAAAAAACTCCAATTTTACAGCAAGTGATGTTTTGTGTCCAAACATTCCCACTGTGCCCAAACTTTGTCCTCTGGTACAGATGGGGGGGGTGAGATTCGACGTCACACTTACTGAGGAGCTATTGCTAGCAGGTAGTTGCAGGGATGTGATGTCTGGTAGGTTACCCACGCTTCAGTGGATGCCCACACAAGGATAGCTCTAAATGGACTTACTGCATTATCAAAAACAAAAAGCACAAAGTGGGATGGGGGTATGTTGGGAGAAGAGTTGAAGGGGAAAATGGAGGAAGGGTTTTTATCATATGTACATTTTTATTTTTACTTTTTTTATTTTTATTTTTTTATTTTTATTATTATTATTATTTTTTTTTTTGGTTTTTCGAGACAGGGTTTCTCTGTGTAGCTTTGTGCCTTTCCTGGAACTCACTTGGTAGCCCAGGCTGGCCTCGAACTCACAGAGATCCGCCTGGCTCTGCCTTCCGAGTGCTGGGATTAAAGGCGTGCGCCACCACCGCCCGGCTCATATGTACATTTTAAATTCTCAAAAATAAAGAAAAATATTAGGGGCTACGACAGGCTAATGCTGATCCCCCTTTCTACACATTTCAAGATTTCTAATGAAATTGTGTAGTCTTGCAGAAAGTACACATCAACACAGATATGTATGTGTGTGTGCCCACCCATGTGCATAGGCATGCACTCAAGCACATAGTTCCAGGAGGTTAGTAATACAGCCCCTCACTTAAAGAATCCCTGTTCTTGAGAAAGAAACAGAAGCTGAGTTTCTAATTTAGTCTTTCAAGTTACAAATATAACGAGAAATGTCCCTCCCCCGCACCGGGCTCCAAACAGTGCACAGAAAATGGAGAGAGAGGTCCACTGTACAAGCCACAGCAGACTCTGCGGTTTCCGCTCACGCTCTTAGCATCTATAAATACACTCCTAGCTGTGAATAAATTCTTATCTAAAGCAGAAGAAAGAAATAGGAAAGCGGTGAAGACAAGGCAGGAAAATGTACCAGTGACAAGTTCAAATGCTGACAGGATTAAGAAGCCTCTTAAGTTTCTCAGGATGGAGGGCATGGGGGTAAGGGACAGGATGGAGGCTGTGGGGGGAACAGGATGGAAGCCATGGGGATCAGGGACAGGATGGAGAGCATGGGGAGGGGCAGGATGGAAGGACATAGAGAAGAACAGGATGGAAAGGATTGGGGGGTGAGGGTGGACAGGATGGAAGGCTGCGAAGGGAACAGTTGCATTTCCAAGTCATGAGAGGAACCTAAAGAGGAAAAGAGGTTCTCTCTTATTACATGTGACTGGCTCTTTCCCAAACCTAGCCTCTGAAGTTCACAAATTTGACTAAATGTGAAGATATATTGGTTCTGCCAACTATTGAACAGATCAGTATAAATCCGTCCTGTTTTTCTAGAGTCTTTTTTTTTTTTTTTTCAGTGTCTGGAGAAATGCCACAGAGTCATTTTCATGACTCTCTCAATTCATCTCTTCCCCTACCACATGTGTTCCTTGCAGATGCTCTGATGCCAATCAAAGCTGAACTGAGTATGCCCTCAGGACACCCACTAGGATGGGTGGCCACTCATGGGTGATATTACCCAGTGGACTAGGCACAAACTGTGGGGCTGTAGATGGTCTCCCTCCCCCTCCTCTCTCTCCCTCCCCCTTCTCTCTCTCTCTCTCTCTCTCTCTCTCTCTCTCTCTCTCCTATCTCTCTCTCCAGGCTCTGGCTCCCAGCTATAAAATGTGAAGCTGCCTTCTGATATTGCAGATCAATGAACACAGAAAAGACATTAAAGAATGTACAGACTAAGGAGAGCAGCAACAGTGGCAGGTACTTTATTTAATACTGGGAGAGAAGGGAAGACTGGGATACTGCTCCCACTGTCTTTGTATTAATCACACTCTGGGTTCATGTCAAGAATCTACATCTAAAAAGAAACGGAGTTGGAGGTACAGTTCAGTGGTTCAATGCCTGTCTGGCATGTATGAGGTCCTAGGTTCAATCCCCAGTACAGCAAAAAACAAACAAAAACAGTGTTAACTTTATCATACGAGACTAATGGGCAAGCCAGGCATGATTGTGCATACCTTTAATCCCAGCACTCGGGAGGCAGAAGCAGGCAGATCTCTGTGAGTTCGAGGTCACCCTGGTCGACAAAGTGAGTTCCAGGGCTCTTACACAGAGAACCCTGTCTTGATGAGAGAGAGAGAGAGAGAGAGAGAGAGAGAGAGAGAGAGAACAAATGGGCAAGGACAAATCTGCTTGTTCCTATCTCGCTATCACTTCAGGGTCAGCTCTTACTTCTCACACAAAGTCTTCAAGTAGACTCCAGTAGACTCCACTGACCATTCTTTTCTCTGACTGCCCCCAAACCTACAGTTTGTCTACATTGTTTACAGTTAAACCTGGCTATTTTTTATCTGCTGTTTCCTGTTTCATACATGCAGATCTTGTTTGTCTAATAACATTAGCAACTTCTTTTATTATCTTCTTCACGGGCATTGCCTATGCATGCACAAAAACAAATGACTCACATCTACAGGTGGCTAGAGAGATGGCTCAGTGATTAAAAATGCTTGCTGCTTTTGCAGGGGACCTAGGGTCAGTCCCGGCACCACTGTGACACTCACAGCTGCCTACAATTCCAGTTCCAGGAGATCTGCTGCCCTCTTCTGATCTCCTTGGACTCATACACACATGTGGTGCACATTTCTACACTCAAGCACAGACACGTAAATAAACTAACTACATAAACATTTTTAAAACATGAAAAAAAATCTTTAGAAAAAAAATTAAATTGCCAAGCTAAAAATTAGGACACATGGCTGGAAATTTAGTAGACAACAGGACAAGTGTTCTTTCTATCCATAGCTAAATGACTTTCTGAAAGCAACAATTTTTTCACCTAAGTCCTCCAATTATTTCTCAGGTACTTGTTGAACCTTATGATGCACCAGGCATTATTCCTGTCATTAAAAGGTGTGGTGACCACACAACTTGCCTTCTGTAACAAAACAATGTATATGTGCACAGGATTATTTTTACCAAACATCTCAGTACGCTTTAGTTAACCACAATGTATTACACTCAAAAGTCAAAGCTAGGAAAGTCTTCTCTATGGTCAAGTTGTCAAAAAATCAAAACTAAGGTATTTACATTTTAGTGCCTCCCCCCCCCAAAAAAAAAGAAAAAAAGGAACAAAGCAAACCCCACCTCCAAACACCAACAGACCCATCCTTCCAGGCCTACCCAATGGGGAAAGCATTTATTTTAGCTCGTGGTTTCAGTCCATCATAACAGGAAAGCGCAATTAATGGCACCAAGAGCACATGCAGGGGGATTCCACGTTGTGGTGGATTGGGAAACAGAAAATGGAGCTTGGACAAAGTGGACTGGGCTACAACCTTCAAATGATTGCCTCTAGCAGTCTCCTTTGGCCAGTGAGCCAAACCTCCTAAAGGTTTTACAGCCTGGGGGAGACAGTGCAGATTGATACTGTAACACTCAGCCTAAGAAGAACTACAGAGAAGCGGGGGAGTGGAGCATTTCCACTCACTCTGGAAATGAAAGGGCACAGCCAATCCCAGCCCAAGATGACCTTCATCTTTTTCACACAGAAGAGGAAGCTGCCTCCATGCACACAGTCACTTTTTTATCCCCCGTTTTCTGCAAAACGCCCACCTAACACATGGCCTTAGACACATGGCCTTAGGGACGGAAGACCTGAGAGGCAGATGATAGACCAACACATTTGCAAAAATAATGTATTGTACATGTTTTAAAATCATTTTGTATTAAAATTCCTCATTGCTTTGAAAAGAGTACACACATAGGGAGGTTCACATTTGACGTGTAAAAAATAAAGGGGAAGAAGAAACATCCACCTGCTTCAGTAGTTTAAGGAACTATACTGAAAATGAAACAATAAATTACAATATAGCAATTATTATTACTATAGTATATAGTAGTTAAATAAGAAAGCAAATTCACATTGTCCCGAACCCTTCACTTGACACAGGCTCACATAGCTGCCTGCTGCAGTGACCTGCATCCGTGGCTAATCCATCTGAGGTATCAGGCTGGGAGATTTCTCATTATACAACAATAAAAAAAAACACTCTGTCCCAGAAAATATCCAGGAAGACAATTTCCCCAACAAAACAAATACTCTATTCCCTCATGACAGGCTTTCTCTATGTACGGAGGACAGATACAGTCACTAACTTCCTCCTGGCCTCCCAAGGGACAGGCATGCCTCTTTTGACAGTTTCAAAAGGACAGCGACCCTCTGCTTAGCGACCATCTGCCATAAGACACACATGCAACAACTCAAGAAACTGTGTCCTGCAGGAAGGCTGGTGGCACCAGGTGATGCAAAGCCAGTGTGTGGTATCAGCAGCAGGAATTAAGTAATCCTAATGATCCTTTGATGACTTTTACAATAATAAACACTCTTAAAGGACAGCACATGTTCAAAACTCACAGACTTATGTTTTCAAAAAAAAAAGATACTGAGGCATCTCAAGGACAATAAAGAAAAGAGAAAGAAGACGCATCGAACATATTTCTATATGTGACACTCAGTGATGTGCCTGAGCTCAGCTGTTCACACACCTATACAGGTGGAGGTAGTGGAGGTAGATGAAGAGCTATGCTCCTTAAGTCTTGGAAGTACCTTTCTCTTCCTCCCACCCTTAGCTTAGGGGTCCATTAAATATAATTGGGGGGGGGGGCTCCAGCTTGAATGACCAACTGACTCGGTTCCGCATCCTTCCCCTGACTACTTGCTCTTGCCTTGCCACATCAGCCCAGGCTAACAGAACCCTGCCTTAAACAAAGCCAGGTACTCTTCTTGCTCTACAGGAATAGCATCCATGTGTGAGCAGAGCCAGCCAGTGCTTCCAAGGCAGCAGGAAGCTCGTGCTGTGGGATCTTTGATCCATCCCAGACCTCATCTAGCACCTGAACCCCACTGGGACAGCTCTCAGGAACAGCTTTCAGAAATTCTGGATATGGAGCCAGACTTCCTATCTGTGCAGAATCGGTGGGAGGACCATCTCCTCCTTCTGGCCACTGCTGGATAGGTTTCTGCATTCTCTTCACTCTGAGACTGCAGAGCGGTGCTTTCCGACACAGACCGACCTCCACCACCTCATTCTAGAAAGAAGACGAGACAAACCAAAGTTACAGGTAGGCTTAGTTTCCGTTGTCCACGTGACCTGAGATAGAATCACCGGGGAAAACAATTTCAATGAGGGGTTGACTTGGTTAACTTGGCCTGTGTGTCTGGGGGTGGGGAGCAGCTGCAGGGAGAGGGAGGAATGCTGGGTTGATTGCCTTAATCAATGTGAGAGGGCTCAGTCTGCAAGTGGGCAGTGCCATTCCCCAGTCCGGAGCTCGGGATTCTGCAAGAGTAGAGAAAACAGTGGAGCACTAAGTGTGAGTGCGTTCATTCCCCTCTGCTCTTGACGGGGGCTCTGATGTGACCAGAAACTGGAAGTTCCTGCTGCCCTGAGCTCCCTGCAGTCAGGAACTGGAACCTGAAATCGGGTTCTAACCCAGCCACAGAAGTGAAACTAGGCCAGTCACTAATTTCCAAAAACCAAAATGGCTTTGAACATTTGTGTTTTTGTATATGGTTTTATTGAGTCTGAGTATAAAAATCTTGGGCCAAATTGGGATCGCCGTCAAATCTGAATAGAGAAACTTTACACTCTGTATGCCTGCACAAATGCACACAGGCATATATATAGACAAGCATGCATGCTGAATACTCTTCAAAGGGCTCACTTACTTGCAAAATAATTCATATTTTATTTGCAAAGTAAATGGATGCTCATTTATTTTGGTACGAGCAGTGATAAATATGCTGGAGCCTTTTGGATAATGAAGGCCTTTTGACATTTGGCACTTCTTTGTGATCTAACTGCGACAATAGCTAAAGTTAGAGCACCTCCAACCACCTTCAGTGTGCCAGGAGAAACTGACAAGGAACGTAGTGTTGGGTGGCTGGCTTAGGTGGAGGTACTCACATCGGCCCTGGTGGACACTCCATGGAGAGAGGCTGCTCTTCTGAAGTGGGGTTCTCAGTAACCATGGTTGATTCTTTCCTACGGTGCCTCCTCACTACCCTGTCTGCTTATGGGTTGTAAGTTCCAGGGCAAGAGAGTGATTTGAGGAAGAGTGAATGGATAAATGATTGGACACAATGCAAGGCACCAGTACTGCCAAACCAGGCCACCTGCCCCAATCTGTTTGCTTGCTCATCATTCCAAGTCCCGCTTCTTGGCTTTCTCTACTTACCGTAGAGCAAGAGGGATTCTGGATCAAGCCCGAGACTCTCACAACTGGATATATTCTTATCATGAAGGTTCTGTCTCATAATGCCAAGCACCAGCTCTTCACTCATCATGTACTCCATGAAGCCATCATCTTCAGCTGGAACTCCAAACTGCAAGTGATAGGTTACCGTGGCGTTTTCAGCACTGGAGGCCAAACCGGTAAAACAGACAGACAGACAACAGACATTATAATGAATAAACGGAATCACAGTGAGGCTGAGGCTCAGACACCAGTTTTAGCATTAACACTTCTTTAGCTCCACATCTTCCTGTAACCAGCTTCAGAGGGTGCACTAGCCTAGGAGAATGCTCTGCCTAGAGTCCTCCTCCGGCCATCACACAACCACCACCAACTGCTCACACTTTAGGGGTCCACTGAGAGTGGCCTTTGGAAGGGCAGGACACAGCCCAGCTATCATAAAGAAAGACTGAGAGTTGTCACAGCACCCATACAACATCAGCATTTCATACCGCAGGGCAAGCAGGGAGCCTGGCCTTTCTCCCCTTCCTATATCCCTGTTCTCAGTGCTGCCACCATGTGGACACAACAGAGCTAGTCAGTTTCATGAGTTCTTTAAAAATGTTATTTATTCTTTTGTAAGTTTTCGCGCGCACACACACACACACACACACACACACACACACACACACACACACACTTTGATCATACGCTCTCTCAAGTTTAACCAGTTAACCTATAAAAATGATTATGGTCTGACCCAAGGCTCATTACCCTGAGTTAGCTCCAGACCTCTTGATGTCCCAGAAAATGCCCTGTGCACCAGCAGTGAGTCATACCTCCTGTGTTTGGGAGGTGGGTTGGGGATGCTTCCCATGTCCACTTCGGGAGTCCTCTAAGTCATGATGACCAAATTTATCTTTCAGTAATGAAGCCTAAGGAATTTTCAACCCTGAGGAGGCCCTAACCCTTTCATCTTTCAGGACACATTTTTTTTCCAATTTTTTTATAGTGAAAGTAATTATAGTTTTATCCTTAATTAGTAGCTTGAGCTGCCCTTTAGACACTACCTCACAGTTATTCTATTTCTATGGTCAAAATAACCCAGATTAGGCTCAGCAATAAAAAAAATTAACAAGCAGTCACATCAGAGAGATTCTTCCAGGCGGAGTTTTATAGATGCTTCAGTCTCTTAATCAGGCCACTGCACTTCTAAGGATAGACAAAGAGCGCCCTCTTGAGGCCAGACATCACATAGGCTAATGACTACATTTTAAAATGCAAGGGCTGACTCCGTTTGTCAACTTTCCCAAACAGCAAAGAAGTGTGCCAAGTTCTGTGAACCAAATAAATAACGAAGTTTAGACTCTAACAAAGCCCAGGTACCAGTATTCCACTAAAGGTAGGCTTAAAAGCCCATTTTTCTGACTCCATTCCAGCTACCCCAAGGTTGTGGGTGTCCTTAATTATCCCTGAGCGGTGTGATTTATCACTAAGGAGGATGGCCAGGAGGACAAGAAGCAACCCTCCACGCTCACTGCTAAGGACCTGGGCTAGCTAATGAAAGGGGCCTGAGGTGGACTTTCAGAAGATCAAGCTGGAAGCAAAGTAAGAGTATCAAGCGGCCCGACCCAGTCTGTGAACTCCATCCCTGTCGCCCCTGCCTCCCCAACCCCAACTCCCCAGGTGGATTTACAAAGGGCAGGAATTTGAGAGATGTTTTTCTGTGGGCTTTCCCACAGCTGCCCACCACCAAAGTGGGTCCGGCAACTGATACAGCAAACAGTACTTTCAGGTTTCTCCTGAGCCAATCCTGGTCCAAGGTCAAGAACTCTCTGTAGACACAAATGCATGAGCCAGGGACAGGGGTATCTTTTCCCACATGCGAGGGCATTCTTTTAGATGTGGTGATCTTTGTTTCTCAGGTCAATATTTTCAAAACGTTAAGTAAGCTTTTAAAATACAACAAAAATGTGGGCTGGGGTATGGCTTGTTTGGTGGATTGTTTGCATAGCATGTATGAAACCCTTTAAACCCCAGTACTACATAAAACCTGGTGTGATGACACATGCCTGTCATCCCAGCGTGCAGAGGCAGGAGACTCTGAAGCTTAAGGTCAACCTTGGTTACATGAGTTTGAGGTCAGCTGGACTACATCAGACCCTTCCTCAAAAAAAAGGGGGTGTTGTACCAGGCAGTGGTAGCACACACTTTTAATCCCAGCACTTGGGAGACAGAGGCAGGTGGATCTCTGATTTCAAGTTCAATCTGGTCTACAGAGCAAGTTCCAGGACAGCCAAGGCTACACAGAGAGAAACCCTATCTAGAAATATATATATATATATAT